ATAATTAGGATTAGATCACATACTCAGTTATAACAAATCACTTACTGAGCATAGTTCGTGTCAAGTGAATGCAAGAATATCGTATATTATACAGAAGAAAATATCATACTGGAAAAACAATCAAATACTACACTGAATGATCCTCATGTTGAATCAAAACGGGGTTTAATATTGAATAAAACTCATAATGAGTAATTCAATCGAAAATTGACTTTTCTTTCCATCATATCAAGCAATAATTAATCTACTGGGTATAACTCGGGTCCTAACAAACGCGAACCCTAAGTTCAGGGCTACCTATCAACTACCTCTAATCACCATCTCATACTAATGATCAAATATTCACTGAAGTTACACAAATAACCCAGTTTGAATGATTTTTATTTACATTAATGATATCTGTTATTTCTAAAAGAATGTATTCATCTAAATAGGTCAAGCATTTTGGAATATTTCCAGTATCACATGTATAATGTTTAATTTATGTCGAGTATGATATTGTTTTGGTGAAGCAGTAAGGACAACAATTTGGATCTATCTATTAGTTAAAAAAATCTCCTAAATGACTTTATGACAACCTGGTTACTTCAATCGATGAACATGCAATCCTGTCAGAAGTGAAAAAATCAGGATATCTGAGATTTTTATGTTCCACAAATAGATTTACTTTAAAGGGATTCAAAGTTTACTGTAACTAGTCCCACATAATAAGTGCATTTATTTCAAACATTCAACTATGAACAATCATGTAAGCAATGACAGGTAGATACAATATAAAGATGAAAATTAAACAACTCAGGTAACTTAGATAGGTTTACATGAATATAATTAACAGAACCGTGAAATAGCCAAGTTACGTTAGTAGGCCACAAGATACTGAATACAATTAAAATGACAGGTCTAATTGAGAGAGTTACTTAAAAATGACAAATTGAACGAAATTATGGTAAAACTAATATAATATTTTATTTCACTATTGGGAGTGAAGCTCGTGATGGTTCCGTTTTATACTTATATCCTGTCGATTGAAAGCTCGGTGTCTTTAGAATATAAAGCAGTAGCTCTTTTTTTTCTTGTCTTAAACATTACATAACACAATGAAAGGATTTAGACAATTAAAACTAAGCACTATAATTCAATAAATTCAAGTGGTTCTCATTTTAAACAGGTATCTAGTCCCTTGAATGATAACATTATCTCAAATAGATATAAGATAGAATGGAACAATAAAACATATTTCTTGAGATAATTCTATAGTTCTGTATTTACAATTTATTAATTCAATTCATGATATCAAAAGTTTTTTCATGATACTTTAATAATGTTATAGTTGAGTTCATAAATCATTTAAAGCTAAACCAACATGGAAAACTTGGAAGCACTGGACGGCCGTTTCCTCCTAGTATAGACTCCTCAGCAGTTCATATCCATGATCCCATTCGCGGGATTCAAACTCAGGACACATCGGTCTCGTGCGCGAACGCGGACATAAATATAGAAACGTTGTGTGTAAACATACATTTACAGGAGTGAGTTTAAATTTTAATTATCGAAAGCAATCAAAAGTAGTTAGACATATTTAAACATAACGAACTGAGAAAATCAATGCTATGAATGTAATGGAGATATGAAGTTCTAAGAAATTATCATTTTAGCTGATTAGATTTCAGTATTTTCATTAAAGTAACCAAATGAGGTTGATTACTAAAACAAACATGATAATGATTAAGAGCATTGTTTCTAAATAAACTAGCATTTTAATGATTTTGAACTAGTTAACATTTAATAGATAAGGAAGAAGTATATATTGAGATTATATGTTGGTTGGAGGTAGTCGACAGGAAACCCTGGACCCGGGTTTCGTGCTACTTGGCACTCGTCAGCAAGGTGTACCTGCAATCTTGAGGGGACTGGTGCTCCCTGGCGGCCACATTGCAACATGATCGATAGCATTCGATCTGCACTAATAAGGACTAGACACGCATGACATTGATCGCCACCCAGTGATCAATCAATTGTGAAGAAGTATATATTCATTTATATATATGAAATATGTGTTGACATTTAAAATATTGGTATTATCTGAAGAGATAGATAACGGCCAGCAGTGACATTTGTGATGATCGTTTAGTCCTTTTTCGAACTCATTTGCTCAATATACATGCGTTCCATCCATTTTAGGACTCGAACCTAGTGTCTTTCATTTCATGTTATTCACTTAGTTATTAAATCCAAATATTCACTGGTTTGTACAGTGGAATGAAGTTTAATTCATTTGCATTGGTTGTTTGTATTTTCCAATTGAAGTTTTGGACTGCAATTGATCAGTCTATTTCAGGCATATGTATATCTTATGTTGATTTCCTTGATTCAAACAACCAATACAAATGAGCTAGTATTATCTTGCAAAAGTTACGTAATTTTGCTACATTCTGCTATATTTATTATATTATGTTTCTATTATTTGACAGATAGATTAAAAAACGTGCTATGTGAAAGGTGATTGCTTTTGTAATTAACTTTATACACATTAATTGAGAACCCAAAATGTAAATCAATAGAATATAATTCAAACGAATACCATCATGTCATTTTTGTAAGCAGTGATGGATAGTGGCTAGCTGTGAAATCCAGGACGCTCAGTTCTTACTATTTGGGACTCGTCAGCTGGATGTACCCGCATCTGAGTTGATGTAAACTCTAGGACTCGAACCAGTACCGTTCGCTTCAAACGCCATAACAGACTGATCAATTGCAGTCTTAAACCGCAATGGAAGATACAAGCTAAATAATACCAAGTGAATACTATCATGTCAGTTTTGAAAATTGAATATGAAATGACATGTTGGATTGGTATTTGTCGATGAGGAGAGAATTCTTCAGTTTTTGTTTTCACCATACTTTCAGATGGATACAAACTTATTTTGAAATTTAATTCAGTAGAGAAGACGTTTTGAAATGATACTTAGCGAGTATAAACAATTCGTTTGAAAAGATTATTGGTTGATACTGTTGATCAACAAGATATGTCTATGGTTTTTAAGATAAATCATGGCCGCTTGCTATAGATTGAATGGGATTATGGTACCGATGAAGGAAAAGCAGTATCAGACTGTTGTTTCACCCTTTTATGGTACTCATCATCAGTTAGAACTCATGAGCCAATCTGGGACCATTAAATTCATTATTTCGCACCTAACCATTAAAACAGCGAAAGCTGAAGATTGTGAGTCCGATTCCTGGTGAGTCTGGTGTGCACATTGATAAGGAGTTCTATAGTAGGGCCAAACAGCTGTTAAGTGTTCTCTAGTCTTTGATCGTATCACTAATAAGGTCAACCTCTGAAGAATACAATCTTAAAATTGAATCAATCCACAAAATGTCCCTTCACGCGAACAATTAATCTTGTATCTAAGATGAATGGAAATTACTTAATTAGGCTCCAATATCAGTTGAAACCCATTAGAATATGCTGTTTCAGTTCCTAATTCTCTTTGTTTTGCTTTACAGGACCCTGCCCATATTTAATGTGCTTGAATTATCAAATCATGGCTTCAAGAGTTTGAAAGTCAATCTGTAGTTGTATTGTTATCCTTACTAACTCAAAGCATGGCATTAGCGAAATGCAAATTGTCTTTGAGTTGACTAAACTTCTGTTTATAATTTTTAGGACAATAGTTGACTAAAGTGAACTTTATAAATTCTTTAGTCAAAATAGAAAAAAATTATGGTTTCCCTCGCTACCTACCGACACATTAGCATATATGACGTCGAAAAAATAAAACTCTATGAAACTGTCAGGAAGAACTGCTTAGTCGGAGCACGATTCTAGCTATTGAAACATTCAATTTTATTAAGTATTCTTAGTTTGGAATATTTATAATTGATTTGGGTTTTGTTTTGATAAACCCTTATATAAGTTTTGTTACCTGGTACTTGAAATATTTTTAAAGATTCTGTGGTTGTTTATATGACTGTACACACTGTACAACTGAGTCGAATTCTATAAAATTTCCATCTTAGAATAATATAACAGACTACAATGCTGCTTTTAATTAGATCTTTATCAAGCCTTACCCTAATACTCAGTATTATTTGTATGTGTATATGTAGAAGAATAAATCAGTCAACTCAATTTATGATTCAACTGAAACAATAAAAATGGATTGTATATGTAATTGTAATAAGTAAATGTACCAATCGATAATAAGCTGACATGTATGTCAGTAAATCTAAGAGTATTAAAATCTGAACAACATCGGAAATAAGTCGACACCTAAAAAAATGGATTTCCCGAAATGGTAGATTGTATGATAAAATATGTATATGAATGATCAATTTAACTATAGAATTGATAAAGAAGCTATACGAATGATGTGGATAGAAACAAACAAACAAACAAATAAGGGGTGTAAAGAATCTGTAAAATTAGTTATTCATTCATATTTGACCAAAGAATAGACAAAAATATTACAAATTTCCTATAGCTTACACTATATGTAAGAAGTAATATGAAAACACATTCGAAAAAAGGTTGATGGTATACATTGAACTAATCTGATTAATTCACTTATACACAAGTCATCTTGACCTATTTTAAATGAAGACATAAATTAATAATAAACAAGAATACAACGAATCATCTATTTGAATAAGATTCTTCTTCTTCTTCTTCTTCTTCTTCTTCTTACAATTACACCATAGATTTGTATTACAATATTTCGATGCTTATGAATATGCTTATTTCATAATTCATATTCATACAACAAAAACATTCCTTTGATTTGAATAAAAAGGGATCGAAAAAATTTGTTGAATCAATTTTTCAAATAACTATTCTCCTATGAACCTGTCTGCCTATCACTAACCTATACAACACATTCATACACACATTCAAAGATACATAATCTCTCCTATATATATATACATATATGTAAACACAGTTAGTATTATATATAGACTGATGGTAACTCGAGTCAAATACCTTTCCCCTTTTTTTTCTAAATGCTAACGTGAATACTAACAATTCCATTATGATTCAATGTAATATTATAAACAGGTTACATATTTCTATGATTACGTAACAATAATAATTGATTGTATAATATCACAGATAACACTAATACTGTTATAATCCATTAAGAATTTATAACAACATATATTCTCCAATATATCAGTGATATCAACTATGCATCAATTCAATTATACAAATCATATAATATTGAAAAATATTTTATTATCATTATTATATTTATCTATATCTATATTAAATTTATTAGATACTTATTATGTAATATCTACAAATTCAATACATATTATCAATAATCATGAAATCAATAATGAACAACAATTAATCAATAAAATCAATATTAATGAAAATCAATTGATTCATAAACAGTTTTTAATTATTAATCATTTTAAATATGAACATACATTGATTACATATTGTACAGAAATATTTGGCGGTATTTTAAATTTTATTTCAGCTAGTTTATATTTTACTACACAATTACATAGTTTATTATTAACTCATAATACTACTACTACTACTAATAGTAATAATAATAGTAATAACAATGATAATAATTTAAAAAAGAAAACATTAAAATCCCGTTTCAACATTCCATTTCCTTATCATTACTTATATCCTAATGAACAAATTATAATGATACATAAATATTTTGAATTTTCTAGTTTACTTATTATAATAAGTAGTATATTTAGTTGTATTATGATGATGATCACAATAAGTTTAAGAAGTTATAAAATATTTATGATGATGAATTATACAGAAAATAATTACCATATATTAATCAATTCTAATTCAACTCAATGGTTTATAGATATAACAATACAAAAAATACAACAAATGAATCAATTATTTTTATTATTTTTATTATTTATAATTAATATTTATATTTTATGTTTATCGAGTGGTTTAAATTGTTGCCATCATAAAAATAATTTAAATAATAATAGTAATCAATTAAAACAAAATCATTCAATTGTCAATATCAAAAAGGATTTAAATTTTTGCAAACATTTAAATCAATTAATTTTATTATTTTCATCGATATTAATTATATTTGGTAGTTTAATTATTATTAGTAATATAATAAAATGTATACAAATTAATAATTGGTTCATTAATAATTATTTAATTGAAAAATCAAAATTAAATAATTTTTTTAATTTATTCAATGGTACTTTAAATATATTAATTGGTTTATTGATAATTATGACAATAAAATTTTATTTAATTCCATTAGAATCAATCATAAAAAATCAATATAAAAATATAAAAATGAAAAAAATTTTTAATTGTCCAATCAATATTATCATTATTATCATATGTTTTTTTATATCGATATCAATACAAATCAATATATCGATTATGAATAAATTAGATTATTTAATTATTAATATCAATCAAACCGATCAATATTTATTACGTAATTCATTACAATTATATTATTATAATTATGCAATTAATTATTTTTTTAATTTTTTTACATTACCTATTATTAATTTATTATTATGTTGTATTATTATTGATTTATATCTTCGTCATAAATTACAATTGAATTTAAAAATTGATTTATTTAAACAATTATATATTGATTATAATTTAAATAATAATAATATTGATGAATTAATGAAACAAAAAAAATTAAAATATAATTATAATCATCAATTAAATAATGATATGAATCTATCTACTGTAAGTTATACTCATTTACCATTACATAATTCATTATTATATAATGAAAATAATACAATCAATATAAGAAAGAATAGAAATGAAGGAATTCATCAAAGATATTCAGAATTATTTCCACAATTGAATGAAATGAAATCTATAAAATATTCACCATTGAAGAGACTTGATACTATTATTACTACTAATACTATTACTACTACTAATAATAATAATAATAGTAATAATATGAATGAAATTAGATCTATTCCTTATTTAAAATCGAATATTCATTCATCTAATAGTATGAATCCAATTTATTTTGAATTAGATACCATTCAAAATGAAATGAAATCATCGAATGAATTAGATATCCATTCAAATTATTTAAGTCAAATTGTTTATAAATGTTCAATGAATCCATCACAATTAAGTGATCATAAATATAATGAATTCAATCAATTTATATATCATTATCCAATAGAATCATGTGAATATATGAGTTGTGATTTGACACAACAACCACAGCAACAACAACGAACTGATATAACATTAATTCATCCTGAAATGAATAATGGAATAAATAATTTAACATCTAGTGAATTAATAAAATTATTTACTGATACAACAGGTGAGGATTTTATTACATCAGTTTGATTACCATCTATCTATCTATCTATCTATCTATCTATCTATCTATCTATCTATCTATCTATCTATCTATCTATCTATCTATCTATCTATCTATCTATCTATCTATCTATCTATCTATCTATCTATCTATCTATCTATCTATCTATCTATCTATCTATCTATCTATCTATCTATCTATCTATCTATCTATCTATCTATCTATCTATCTATCTATCTATCTATCTATCTATCTATCTATCTATCTATCTATCTATCTATCTATCTATCTATCTATCTATCTATCTATCTATCTATCTATCTATCTATCTATCTATCTATCTATCTATGATCAATGTTTCAGGGAATACCAATTCAGATAACATAGTTACAATTTATTTTAATGACATTTAACAGTCAGTGTTTTTTTGTATGCTATCGATGAAGGTTATTCCCATGATATTTTATTGATTTATGTATTATTCTTCTGTGTATTATTGTTCATTTATTACTCATAATAATAATAATACTATTATTATTATTATTGGTATTATCAATGTGTGTTGGGATACTCGGCAAATATTCAGACTAGTACATGTGATTTTCTTGATGAATCACTCCTAGAGCTTTTAAATTAACATTTAATCAACAAGATGGTAAAGTAATGACAAGAAGTACAGTTCAATTAGTTTACGTTCCATATGTCCATCTTTGTGCACTACCTTTTTTAGAGGTATTCTCACCACCTAAAGATAGTGATTAATATCTAGTTGAGTGAAGTAATATGAGAGTATGTTAAGAGGAAGATTAAATAATTGACATCCTCAGAACATTTGAGAAAACGATTTATAATAGTATTAGTACTACATGATGAATTTCTTGTTTATTTTGCATACAACATACCTGAATTCGGGCTCATTATCGTCAATAAAAATAAAAAATTTTGGAGAAAAATAATTTCATGGTCTACATTGTCTATTCACGAATAGGAGTTAAATGAATAATTCGTACAATAGTATAAAGAAGGAGTGCTTCACTTAATATAACTCCGGATGTCTGTTCAGCAATAAAGCAAATGAGTGTTACATGAGCTACATAACCGAAAGCATATAAATATTTTTACAAAAGGCATTATGTTTGATGTTTGCTTACATCAATAAATTTTGGCCAGATAACCATTGAAAACCTGAGAGCGATGAATAACTGTATTTGTTACAGGTAGTATCATGATATATGTTATCATACTTTGCATAATTCATAACATTGACTCCAGAAAATCATAGCTGAAGCAAGATATACTTTGAGTACTATCTTGCGTATTTCCACTGTTGTCAGTAAATCTCACAGAATGACTAACCTGCATTTTAATATAATAATAAGTCAGAAGGGGTTTTGTGGATATTATAGTAGTTTTAATAGTTGAGATCATGAGCCAATTGAAGCCAGACCACTATGGAAAATCTAGAAGCACTGGGTGTCCGTTTCGCTCTATTGTGGGACTCCTCTGAAGCGAGCATCCACGATCCCGCATCGCGAGATTCGAGACCTATCGGTTTCGCGCACAAACGTTTACCCTTCTGATACTAATCAATATGTGCTCACTAGTGACTGGCTTCAAGAGGTATTTCCTGGAGTTCTAGTGAGAAACAGTGCCCAGTGGAGTTCAACCGTGTCTGTTGTGAGATAGTAACTCACTGAAAACAATGGTGGATAATAGTAAATATTATTAGTGAATAGTTTCACTCACACATTACAAATTTTGTATTGTAACAGTGATATAAGGCATATAAGAAGAACTTTAACTACGATACAGAATAGTACTTATGAATGTCAATAGTTGATAAAGGATGTTTAGTTCTACTTTGCTAATATCCAAGATCCCCAAATCTAATATGACTGTCACAAATTAATGAATCGCTTAACATAATATTATACTTCATTTACATAGAATAATCAACTATGTGCACGAAACAGTATTTCATCAAATATTATCAAATAGTCCAGGTATAACTGAACACTTTTAGATTTATACTTAGTAGAATGAACATTTAATTTATAAACAATTTAAATCTTTTTATTTGATATAACCATAACGTTTGATTACTTTTATCATCCATTTCAGTATAAAGAAAATGATGGAAAAAATAATAATAATATTTCACTGATTGAAATCATGAGTTAATTGAAGCTAGACCACCATGGAAAACCTGGAAGCACTGTACAGCCGGTTCGCCCTAGTATTAGGACTCATCAGTTGTGCGCACCCACCATCCCGCACCCCGCGAGACTCGAACCCAGGACCTACCGGTCTCGCGCCAGGCGCTTAACCAATTAGACAACTAAACCGGCCGGCATCTAACGGTGTTAATGTCTAACTTCAAACAATCCATGAAGTTGCGCCACCATACACCATTGTCTTCAGTGAGCTGGTATCTCACAACAGGCTCGGCTGAACTCCACTGGTAACGGCTTCTCACTAAAACTCCAGGAGTATCTCTTGCTTTAATACATACCGATGCCCACTGCTGAGGAGTCCCATACTAGGACGAAACGGCTGTACAGTGCTTCCAAGTTTCCCATGGTGGTCTAGCTTCAATTGTCTCATGATTTCAATCAGTGAAATTTCTAAAATCTCCACAAAACTCCTTCTGATAATAATATTCCAGAGTCAACACTCAACCATATTCTCACTACCTTTTCTAAGATTTTACGATCTAAATGAAATGATACACTACAAGTCTAAAATCAGCTATCATGAAAACCGATCTATCATTTATTAAATACATAACATAATGTTGTGTATTAGTTGTATGAATATTCCCAATGACGTTTAGGGCTACAATCGACCAATCGCTAGATTCAAATAAGATAATCGTTGTCATGACTCAATAACCTAACTTAATAACACAATAATATTTAAAGTAAACTGTATTGATTTTGAGTCACAGAATAAATATCAACTTGGTGATTTCATTGCACTGAACCAATGAGTGTTAAATAAAGGGGGGGGAAACAAGTGTCCTAGATTTCAATGTCTGACTTAAACAAAAACATTACCCCGCCCGACTGACTTACAAATCATTAAAAAAAAGTATTTAACGGTAAATTATTGATACGGGAAATGAATGCCATTTAGAGAAAAGCAAAAAATAAACTAAAAACGGTTTGTCTGTTACATTAGAAGTTTTTCATAGTTTCATAGGGTGTTGATAAAAGTTTGATAAGTAACATCTATTGATTGAATTAACAACAAAGAACAAAACTCAATGAATATTATGATAAACTTGGAAGTGTTAAAAGTTTTCTTACTCAAAAGATTAGTTTATCGTTTTGTAATGAACATGTAAGTATCTCTTACATTCATACGGTTATTTACAAATTCAAAGTTATACTGAGCTTTGGCACCTGTAAAATTCTATTTATAATATGGGATAAAATTTATTAGGGATGATTTGCCTTTACTATATGCTCCTCTCCCCCAATGCCCTGTTATGACCGAAGGTGGGGAAAGTCAACTCTCCCTCTAGAAATGCTCTCACATGTCCATGTCCATACAGCTACTGACAGGGAAGTTCTATTCACTACATTCTCGTGACATTACTTTTGTTTATGAAGTTGAGAGGACGAAAAGTGAATGTCCGGTGTTTTAACCGGGTTGGTGGATATGGAGGATTCACATAGGGGAGTTAGAATATCCTGATTTAAAACCAATGGTGTTCATGGGCTCCAGGATCCTAAGAAAACGAATGAAGTATGAACCTATTGTTGGTCACCGGCTACCATGTGACTGCATTATCTTATGTTGCTCCACTGCCTTGTGGATTTGACCTTTAGGTCGATGGCTTCGGGTGTGGCCCCCTCAGAAAACAACCTAATTCGGTCTGGATACTCGTGCAGTATCTCAGCCCTCACACAAATCGAATGATTTATATGGCGCATATCTATTTGTAGCCTTCTTGTTCCAATGTTTATATGTTTGAATAAATAAATAAACTCTGCTATACCAATCAACTTCAAAATTCTTTCTTTTGAAAAGTACCAAGTGTAATGTAATTATTGCCTTAAAACCAACTGCAAAATCTTTATAATACAAATATTGATAGTATGTTTAAACCTACCAGAGAAGTACTTAGAAAATGTTTGCCATTAATAAAGACAAATGTTAAATGTATATCATCAAAATGTAATGTTTTCATTAGACTTTATAACCCTGAAGAAAATGGTGAAATTGTAGCTTGATAAAGCTTTATGCTCAACTATAAGAACTACAAACGTTGTATATTCTTCATGTAGAACTCAGTGATTTTCGGAAAGATAATCACCTATAGATAAAAAAATCAGGCAGAATTGATTAAATATTTCAGTTTTGTGTTGTTATTTATGAGTGTTTCACTTCAGTCAGAGGACATGTTTAAAAAAACGAAACAGACATTCAAATCTAACAAAGACAAAGGGAAGATTCTCAGATGATTTCACAAAGAATACACAGTAATTGACTTCACATACATTAAAATAGAACCACTCATTAATTTACTGAATGTATAAGGAGAACAAATGGATATAAATGAACTTGGATAAGTACTTTGATTGTACTGGACAGTACATAATTCCTTTGAATTGCACAACGATCAAGATGACTAACTGTGAAACAATAATCATATACTCTATAAATATAGCTCAAAGCTAACGGAATGTTTAACTGTTTAAAGAGTTTAGATCAGATTTACAAGTTAAGAATCTTTATAAAAATAATAGAATTAATTATTAAACGTTTCGAACATTTGGATAAGATGATATACTTTCATCAGTAGTAAAACAATATATCTGTATTTCTGTGTGTATTCCGTATGTCAGAAGAGGTTTTTGTGTATATTATAGTAATTTCAATTGAAGCTAGATTACCATGGAAAACCTAGAAGCATCGGGCGGCCGTTTCGTCCTATTGTGGGACTTTAATTGACTCATGATCTCAACTGTTGAAATTACTACAATCCCCACAAAACCCCTTCTGATACAAATAAATAAATAAATAAAAGTGCGATTTCAAGGTCGATAAAACTGTTAATGAATCATCGATGTAAATGTCAAACAAATGCCTAAATTGTATTGCTAAAAATCTCATTGAAATCAG